AGTATTTTTGTCTAGTTTTTTAACCAGACCTGGTTTTTCTAGACTTATTAACCAAAGAAATTGTTCTCATTTAGCCTACTAACCAAAGGAATTGGCTTTGGGATCTCTTACTTATGATCTTACTTTCATTAATTCTCAATTGGAATTGTGACCTTTTTACTTCGATGTTTAACTTGAGCCTTATAAACCTTTATTTTTTTACTTCATCGACCGAAGAAGCCTCATCAACCACCACACTGGAACCTCCAACACACAAAGTGCCCTCCAGATTTCGGCCGTTCGGTGCATGCACCGCGGGTCTGGATACAGCGGCCCTACCGGGCAAGAGACAAAGTGGCATCCGGCCCTACCGGGTATCGGATCCTGGCACCCTACCGGGTTGGCCAGGGGCAGAGTTGGGACGGTGTTCGCAGGAGCTCACACTCCCGCCCAGAGGCATGTCAGAGACCGCTCACTCGAGGCGGTAGACACCTCTTGTGGCTTGCTCTGTCGCCCGCACGCTTATGGCCACGCCATTCGTGCCGCTCATATACGCTGATAACGTCAGCGTATACTTTGTCTACGCTGACCAATCAGCGTCGCTATGCACTTTGGAGGTGTGGCCCAGCGCTTACGAGCGATTCCATGCTTTGCGGTACCAGCTGTGATTCACCTGCTGCATGCCGCGGCATTACGTTGATTTTCACCGAGCTCGCTGGCAGCCACTTTCACCACAGCTTTTCCGCATTGGTTTTTCTGTTGGTTGTTTTTGTTGGTTGCTTTATTGTGAAACAATAAAGGAGAGATATTTCTCCCTTTTTGCTCTCTGCTTCTGTGTCATATCTGACAATGATTAATTTTTATAGCTACCTAAAATTGTTAAACTATTTGTTTTAGTTTTAAACTAATTGTTTTAGTTTTAGCCACGTCAACCGACGTTAACCAACTAATTAGTCGGCTAATTTTAGTATTTCCATCACTAATTCTAACAATAAGTCAGCACTACGCAGTTCATTTCTTAACTCTGCCGCACTTTCAGCTAGTGAAAACTCATGAATACATACAGTGCTGCTAACAAAATTCCCTTTTCATGGACTTGGAAGGAGAATAGGAAGAACAGAAGTCCACAGTTCAACTGGAAACACAAAAGCAAATCATATGCCGGAATATGAGGGACTAGTTTAGATACGGGCGTGCAGTAAATAACGCAACCAATCTAGAACAGGCTTACCAAGCAGTACTTGAATTTCTGCTCATTTGGTTTTCGGAAAAGGTCGTAGCAGGAAATCGAACACAAGGCCAAAGTGATTACGGAGCTGCAACCAAATAAACCCAACATAATTTTCTCTGGCGTACATTATGGTGAAAACAAGTCCCGTATGGGAATCCAAAATATAATTTGACCTCTACGTATAATCGTGCGTACAGTATAACAACGCTATAGCTACCTTTTCTGCCTTATAAAATCAACATTTGCAGGTGTTAAAAGCAATTATACTTACCTCGCGCTAGCCAGAGTGCCAATATTCGAAGCTGCCAACATTTCCCCAAAAGGTAAAAGAAAAATGGAAATGCCAAATACAAACACATCTGTTATAGTTCAAAGCCAACGAAAAGAGAACGGCAGCCACGACATCCTGGCGAATGGCGATGGCTGATGGCGAAAATCGCCCAAGCGGTTAAACCCAAGCTAATACAGTTATATCTGCAATAACCGGGGTACAGATTATTAAACAAGACTAAAATTTTGTTAATCTACAAGAACCATACGTACAAGCAAACGTCATTAACAGATTGTTGGGACCCATAATCTAACAGTAATATAGTAACGAAAGGAATACCAATGTCAAAATTAAATTACTAGATTACGACACGTACTGGAAATGGCCGTGGTCAATTAAAATCTGTGGAGGTGCTAAAAGTGCCACACAGGCTTCCGCGCAAATACGAAGAATGTACGGAAATCCACCGTGCACGGTGCGCCTCTGGTATACAAGGGCAAATATAGCCGGAAAATATATCAGAATGTCGGCAATGATAGCTAAATAAACAGAACATAAACAAGTGTGATGCACAAAGTGACTGTGGATTATTTTCATATTACACGTCAGTTACTGGTTGTGCGCATAAACAACTTATGGGATTCCGTTTCGATTCCCCGAGATTCCGGTAGTGCCACCCATGAAGGATTAATTAAGCTGGCGCTACAAAGAGCCTAAATTCAGTTGCATGAATTCGCCGCAGCCGCACAGCTAAAAATCGTGAAACAAAAGCTCGACAAAACAAACGCGAAACCAAAAAATGCCAATGAATTTTTTCCGTTTCAGTGAATTATATCAAAACGGAATTCAGCAGTTAATAAACGTAATTATATACGGGTATCGCAGCGTTTGGCGGAATTCGCAACCAGGGTAAAAAATGAAGAAGTGCAAAATCCGACAAACCTAAAAATGCGGAAAACGCAAGTCCACTGCACTCACATAAAGCCACACATCCAGCTATGATAAGCCGTTAAAGGTGGATAATCCAAACCCCAGTAATTCAGATCGTTGTTACTTGTGTTATGGTACCTGCCAATAAACCAGTAATTTAGGCAAACCTCGTACAAATTAAATTTAAACGAGAATAAAGAGAAACGTTTAATAAAGCATTTAATTGTACATGTAAATAACTTAATTAATTTATTAACAGTACCATTCCGCAGCAGGCAGATTGTAAGTAATTTCCATCCAGTGCCTCTGCGCCTCGAAATCTCCGTGCATGGGCGGTTTACCTTGCCCTAAAATCCGTATAAAATTTATAAATTCTGAAAACGGAAAACCTTGACACATTACATTATTCACTACCTGAGTACGGGTGAAGAGAAATTATCCATCGGATGACAGCCGCAAAAAGCGCAACAGTGCAACACTGCCGAATTCGTGGATGCAGCGCTGCTTCGACACTTACATGTTGTGATGTTGAATCGTAGTCTTGTGGTGCTCCAAATCAGATTTCCAATTTTTGCGCCGCTATCGTAAATTATGAACCGTTACAAAGCTCTTTCTGAAAATGGATGCAGTTTTTTTAAACAAACTGCAAATCATAGATGCAAACGATTCAAATTTTATTCCAAAAACATTCAAATGCAAAACGCAATGCAAAATCCAGTGTTGCATAGGTGGCGCGTATAAGCACGCTAGTTAATCACGTGGCATTTCGCGTTTATTTAATAGTGTGCTTGTGTTCACTTGATAGTGACTATCGAATGTATCAAGTTGATACGAGTACATTCGCTATAAAACCATCAGTCCCCCACTACATTCTTGCACGCACGGCGAGGTGGCTTAGGTTTCTTAGGTTATTCTTAGGTTCTTAGGTTATTCTTAGGTTTCTTAGGTTTATTAGGTTCTTAGGTTATCCTAAGAAATCTAAGAAACCTAAGAATAACCTAAATAACTTAAGAAACCCAAGAAGCCTAAGTGTACCCAGAGAAAAAGAAAAGGTTAAGCACGAGAAAACAGTATAAGAAACGTAATCCAAGCCCGGAAATACGTAGTCCAGTTTAGTAATCCAAGTTAAGTAATCCAACTTATTTAATCCAAGTTACGTAATCCAAGTTACGAAACCATTCATTTCGGAAACCGTTTAATTCGGAAATCGTACATTTCGAAATATCTTCTTCGGTTTTCTTAGCTTTCTTGTGTTAGTATTCAAAGGACTTAAGGTTTCTTAGTTTTAATATGTTCTTAATTAGGTTTCTTAATTAGGGTTCTTAATTAGGTGATTTTCTTGGGATTATTCAAATGTTTTCTTAGGTTTTCTTAAGTTCTTAATTAGGTTTCCTAATTAGAATTCCTAATTAGAAGATTTTCTCAATCAGCTGGTATTAGTCAAAGGTCTTCTTAGGTTTCTGAGGTTTTCTTGTTCTTAATTAGGTTTCTTAATTAGGTTTCCTAATTAAATGGATTTCTTAGGTTTCCTTAGGTTTCCTTATGTTATTCTTGTTTTCTATTAGGTTTCTTAAGTTTTCTTATTTTTGTTATTTGTTTCTTAAGTTTTGTATTTTAATTTATTCGGCTTCGGCCAGCATACATAACAAATCGCCTGCGCAAGTTTACACTAATTAAAACCATCAGATTTTTAAACATTAAAAACATCCAAATTCGTTAGTGTCTCGCATGATCTTAGGACGTGCGTTAAGTGTACTCAAAACAGCCGCTGCATTTCCACGGACTACCGCTAAACTTAAACGTTGTCTTAAAAAGGCGGTAGATCGTGGTTCCCCGGTAACTTCACGGATCTTTCTGCCGACGAAACGGATAAGCTCGGCGAAAGGCGCTCCGAAAGTCCCGAATGTCTCGACTGCCAGCGGATAAAAAAGATATCCTAAATCTTCGATAAAATCGTATGTCCGGCGCTTGCTTGCTTCTGCCAGTTGTGCTACACTTCCCGCTTTCTTCGAGCTAGCATGCACATGAGATACAGCCACCGTGTCCCAGCATGTCGCGTCCCAGCATGTCGCGTTACTGACACTCCGATCACTCTCCGAGCTACTCATACTAGATTCTCCGAGTGCTGACAAGTGATCGGAACTGGGAATGATGTTGGCATCCATTGCGAGACTGTAAAATGTTGAACTGGATGTCTTCAGTAACGTATCCGGTGAATCGAACTCTTGGATTCGCCCTCGATCCAGAACCATTACCCCGACAAAATCCAGTTACACTCAAGAAAAAAATTTTGTGCCGCAAGGCGCGCAACTCGGACTATGTTTTTCAACACGTAAAATATGTACTTTATCCTTTCGTTACAAACGATCCTAATCGGCTAACCTGTTACAGTCCAGCACACTGCGCAGTCGTGAGCGATGATCAGCATGGTACAGTCCTTAAATTCATCATGAATAGTTTTCTGGAGCAGCTCATCCGTTTCCGCATCTAACGATGCGGTGGCTTCATCAAGGATAAGGATTTTGGTCTTCCGCAAAATTGCTCGGGCTAAGCAGACCAGCTGCCGTTGTCCCGAGCTGGCAAGCATTAGAAGCAGCGCACTTGAAACACTATGTACGAAGTCTGCAAGGCGGACTAATGCATCCGGCCTGTGAGCGAAGGAGGAAGTAATCTCAGGTATGCCGGTATTCCCATTCAAACGCACAGATGCAGGTTATTCTGTTTTTTAAGTTTTCGAAGACTTGAAGGGATGATCGGTAATAATTATGACCTTGTTGCACTCTACACGGCGTCATCCGAGCATTTTCCAGATGGATCAAGATTTTCCCGTAATGATCCACTGAGCAAGAGCGGATCCTGAAGTAAATCGGCAAGTTTACAAATTTATATTTTTCCTGTTTAAATGCCGACAGTCTGCAACAAATTGTACGCAATAAATGACCCACCGGTGGTATTATTGTTAACCGCGATCGCAATTAGTCATGCAGACCGATCTTCGAAACGTCAGCACCATCCAGGATAATCGAGCCTTCACTGGGTTCAACGATGCGAAATATACCCGTGACAATGAGCTTTTACCGGCACCGGTTCTCCCAACGATTCCTATCTATCGCATAACCGAAAATATTTTTATTAGGCTGTTAAGTATTTGCGCTGTCATGCGCACCTTTTCACGGGGAAGAATATCACAGGATAATCCTTTTAATGCAAGATCCAAACCGGGACGGTAACGACATTTGTAGTTGGTAAACTGAATTGCACCCGATGCCGGCCATTCAGGAGGCGGACGGGAATCGGGAATGATCCAAGCTTATCGGTTGCTCAGCTTGGTTGCTCAAAGGTCACCGTCCATTTCGTAAATGTTATGTATATTTACCTATTTGTGTTTGAATTTTTATGGATTGCAGGTGGTTATCATTAAGACTGGAACTAATTGGCTGTGTGATCATTTTTATCACCGCTGTGCACAGCGGTGATAAAAACGCCGTGGATGCCGCATTACTCGTTGATACGGAAAACGCCGTGGATGCCGCATTGGTCAGCAATATCAACATGGTTATCCGTAAGGTCACCGTGCGTATAAACGGGCCAGTACACCAGCCAACTGGCCCGTTTCACACCGTTTCCTTCTTTTCCATGAAGACCCGCGTCGGATCCCTTGCTCCCTTTATCCCCTTTTTGCTGCACCTGTTTCAGTCGACTGCTGAGATCTTCCAATGAGTCGACGCGGGAAATTTGCGAGGCTAGTCGCTGAGGTCTTCGTGATGCGATCAGACTGCGACGATGCTCGCGCAGGGATGTTTTCATACTACGCGGAAGCTTCTGTACCACTTCGTCCAGCGTCTTCTTGCGGTGATCGGCTTCCACAGGATCCAAAGCCGGGTCGACGTGCAGCGCTTCAATTTCATTGCGCAGATGGGTTTGAATAAATTCGGCAAAGGGACCAGGAGTGCAGGAGGTCTTGGAAAAACCCGGATTCGGAGATGTGACCGTCCTCCAGAACAACCAAGTGGTCAATATACGGGAGGAAGTGGTAACCGTTCATGACGACAATCCTCGTCTGAAAATAAAGGACTGGTATTTACGCGCAAATTATTACAGCGTACAGCTGTTAAAATAGTCGATAAGCCATTGACCACTGCAAATTAAGTATCCACACGGGCCACACATAAACAAATGCGATCGAAATTCAAAATGCAGCATTAATACTACCACAGTATGCGTGCCTTACTTTGTCCTTTAGTCCCGTTGGTCCAAGAACGTTTTCGAATACATACTTCGCGCTGTAAAATGTTATTTACATATAGCTTTGTAGCAAAGAGAGATTTACATAAAAATATATCATGATAATCATATTGTACCGAGAAAAAATTAGCTTGTTCTCAAAATACGTTGTAAATTAATATTATATAATATGCACCATGTGCGTTACTCGAAAAGCTTTAACATTCTACTATTGTGGCTATTTTACAGCCCTTGTAGGTAGATACAAGTATTTGCAAATGCTTTTGTAGGCGCGAAGTGCAAATTTATTAATTATATTCCACTGATACAATCACATACTTTACCGTATTGTACATGGAGATTTATCGTTTAATATGTGTGCCGTACTTATTCGATTTACTTACACTTTTGCGTCCAAGGCGCTGAGAGGATCGTCAAGTACAAAAACCTGCAGCATTAACATTCGCCGTAATTTTGTGTTTTATTAAGATAGAAAAATTGATTTTTATTGTGCATGTACATGTGAAAGATTGTGCGTAAAGTCAAAGATTCTTAATTATACGTGTGAATTACACGAGTCAATTGAACATGCACAATAAAACATTTTTACTGTTTACGATCACGTAATTTCGGAAAGCGTTCAAATACAGCAGGGTGCAGCAGGGTATATCTGTAGAAATACCTATGCCTTACTTCTGCATGACCGTAAACAGTTCGCGCTAAACATAGCCGCTGCTGCTGTCCTCCGCTCAAATTTGAACCTTGATCCGATAACACAGTTTCATCCCGTTCTTGGAATGATTCAATATCCTCTTCAAGAGCGCAATCCTGCACAACGGTTTGGTAGGCAGACTTTTGAAATGGCCGGCCAAATAAAATGTTGTCTTTGATTGACCGGCTTTGAAGCCATGCTTGTTGCGGCATGTATGCGATTGATTCCTACGGAAAACAGTTTTGTCGGAAAATTTGTTGTTAAAATATTGTTGTCAACTGTTGGTATTCTTAAAAAAACAACTGTAGCATGGGTTTTCTTGCACATCGTAAGTTTAATTTCCTTAATATGCCAGAACGCGAAGCTGTACGAATAATACTGACCAGGTGTGAGAATCAAGGTGGGACTCGACGTTAGCTGCGTTTTCGCAACAATTGTTCGGTTAGAAATTTGCAAAATAATTTCCAGCGCGTCATGGGATGAGATAACATATTGTCTTACCGCTGATTCAACGGTTCCCGATCGCCGATTCATCAATCCTAGTAAGGCGCGACATAGGGCGGTTTTTCCTATAATATAGATCACTGCGTCATAGGAAATGTTTGTTTGTTGCGGAAATGCATTTACCGGATCCGGCTTGGCCCACAATACCGACTAGCTTGCCGGCTGGGATTTCCAGGTTGATATTCGACAAACACTCATGACCCGGCTCGGCTGACCATGCGAAATAACCGTTACGAATTGTGACGGCTGTACTGTAGTTGGCGGGCTGTTGTTTGCCGGTACTTACGCCGGACACGTAAGGTTTGGGTTCGTCAGCATTAAGTGCACTCGTGAGGCGCGTTTTCGCCACCATTGCCTAGGGTACAAAAAATAGTTAACGATGAACTTTGCTGAAAGATCAAAACTGGTCTACATAAGCTACATGGGGAAATGCAAAGTGATCTAAGAGTACGTAGCATGTAATAAATAAAATTCGAGCAATTTGTTTTATACGGTTATGTCAGATACAGCGAATTTTTAATGCATAAAAAGCTGTGATTCTGTTAATAGATCTCGTATTACCTGAATGACGTTTCCGATAGTAGGGGGAAGCATATTCATCGGATTTTTTAAGATGTTAAAAACAGCGATGGCAACAAACGCCTCTTCACTGTCCAGAACATGACCGGCCAACACGTAGCAAGCAAACGTTGCTAAAGCCACAATGAAAGGTGATGTTATGGAATAAAAGGTAGAGAACGCGGTAAGATACGCTATCGCTCGCAATGTTTTCAACTAAAAAAAGCAAACTGTAAATAAACTGCATCACCATGCTACCATATCGCTGTTAGTGGACAGTACGGTAATTTTGATACCTCGTCAGAACGAAATCGAAATATTCGTTTTTCGTAAATTCCTTCCCACGCGTGGAGTTTTAAAAGTTTGATCGCCCGAAAGACTTCGCCAGTTAACCGTACACGAGCGTCTTTTACCACCATTTGTTTAACCTGTACAACAGTACAGTACAATAATTATAACAATCTAATTAATGAACATGTTTTGTGATTCGTAGCGTATAAAAGTTTTTAGGTAGTACTTTGTACCTACAACTGGACGCTAATCTAACCGCAAATGAGCTTCAGAATTTTTCGTCACTACTGCATTATGTAACTTAAAGTCTTAAACCTGTCAGAGGCACATGACTGCGCCTGGTGCATACGGCCCACCACGGTCGTACTTGCACTCATGCTTGCCATATCGCCTCTCTCGCTGTACGTACGTGTGCTGCTGCACTGCACTTATATCCGCTGAAGCGGATATACGCGGCGCACACACTGAGCATACTTGCTCTCTCGTCCCTCTCTCGCTGTATGACTCAGCGTACGCTCGCGTTGGATTGAGTCCAGTCTGCGCATCAACACACAGCTGATGGCACACACCACGTGCTTGCCGCCAGTTGCTTCTTTCACGCCTTGACAGACGCTCAAGAACCCACTTTTCTAGCAATCACTTGCTTAGCCATCAGTGCTTTGTTCTTGCTTTCCTGCTATTACGCAGCATTGTTCCCCTTTATTTGTACAATAAAGCTCACTCGTGATCTCCTCGCGCTTGCCTGTTACATGGTAAGCAGAATCGTTTGGTTTTCTTTCAACGGACCCTTTGAGGAGACGGTGAAGGCTTCATTCACGGAGAACCTGTTTGGAAACCTTTTCAGTCACTGTCAGATCGATTGCTGAAGCAATCTCTGCATTGACTGTCGATCAGACTGATCGCATCGTCTTACAGCTGAGGAAAACGAGGATCACCGAAGTGATTCTTGCCCAGCTGGTGAGCACAGTTCCTTGGTCTCTTCCACATTGAAGAGCGGAATCTTATTTCCCGGACGTACGGAATTTCTCTTCTCCCAACCGACGGATCAGACTCGAACGAGAGTCTGCAGCGCGAACGGATTAATCCAATAATACGGGGACCTTCGCTTTGAACAGCGACCCGCAACTTTAACGGCGATTTTCAACTCGGAAACGACGGATTTCCGACCTCGGACGGAGGAAATCGAGCGGAACCGACACCGACACCGACACTGGTAAAGTAACGGTTCTAGGTCGATTTTAGCCGAAACTAGGTCGGCTTTTCACTTTCTAGCGGTAGAAAACAATTTCTATCCGTAAAATTAAAATTTCCAACGGTGAAAAAGTAATTTCTGACGGAGAAACCGACTCGGAATTTTGCTTTTGGTCGAGAACCGACCTGCTAGGTCAACGAACCTGTCTAGACAGTTAGACAAAGACTAACCGACAACAGGTCGGAAATTCTCTTATTTTCGATTTCTAACGGTGTTTTGACCACCAGAAAATTCTCTTAATTAATAAAAATAATTTCTAACGGTTAAAAACTTAAAAATCCGAGCTAGATCGACCTTCTAGCCGAGCAAAAATAATTTGTTTTTCTAACAGAAAATAGCGCGAAAATTCTCGAACTTCCTTGTGACGTCATAACGACCGCTTATCAGTACTTAAGAGGCAGCCAATCAGAGTGCAGGGGAAAGTTCCCATAGCCTAACATAGGCGTGATTCATCGTTTTTTGCAAATTTTGCACGCGGCTCGCATTCTGTGACGTAGGCAGAAGTGCAAGACCACTTAACCTGTTACGTCACACTGGTCAGCACAGTAACATAGGACGTACTACACCGTACTACTATTACGTACTGTACTGTACCATTGTACTGTATACTAATACCCTGTGTACTGAGTCACCAACAGACACAACAACAACAACAACAACATTTCACCGGACGATCCTGACCCTTGGAAGTTCCTGAACAAAAAGACATTTCTGATTTTGCCGAACATCTTCACATAGAAGATTGTTCGACTTTCTCTTTCTAACTGATTAAACCTTTAAGGCTCCACCAGAGCCGACCTGACTCGACAACAATGTCGAATCCCCGAGAAGATCAGTACGCGAGAAAGTTCAACACGGACTATTCTCGGCGTGCGAACATGACCGGGAAGTACTCACTTCGGTACGCCGGTCAAGACAAAAGTCAGCCGTCCTCTACCGACTCGACTAAGTCGGCCGAGGCAAAGGAGAGACGCAACGAACGCATCCTCCTTGCCGACTCGAATCCAACTTCGGATGACAGTTTCGAGGACGCCCGGGATAAAACATTCCTGGAAGCCCCAGCTGACACAACAGCCCCGTCCCACCTGACCAAGGGGGATGTGGAACAGCTGCAAGCTGAGACCACATTGTCTCATACCGACCTGGAGTCGAGCTCACACAGAGCTCAAGGCTCGGTAGTCACAAAGACAACCGAGCTCGGACGGCATTCACCCAACAGGACGGAAGAAGTGCCGAAGCCGACCTCGTCCAACACGGATGTTCCAACTAACCAAGTCGGAAGGAAATCGCCGACCATACAGGCCGAGCGAAAATCTCCGACTAAGCAAGTTGGTGAACAACAACCGACTACGGTGGCCGACCAACAAATGGTCGACCAACCTTCGGCAAAGGAAGTCGGCCAACAGCAAGCCAACCTACCACAAACCCGGGAGGTCGAACAACCGACCTCGACCGGAATGGAAAAGCCGACAACAGAAGTCGGCAGTGTCCAACCGACCACACAGGTCGGAAGGATTTCACCAAGTGTCAAGGTCGGTCAGTCGGAACCGACCACGGCGGATCCACAGAAGGAAGTCGGCAACAAGCAACCGACTAGCCTGGAACGGCAACTAACCGACACAAAGTCGGATGCAGCCGTCCAATCAACTAAACCACCAAGTGGAACGGAAGATTCCGAGATACCGCCACGAAGCGGCCCTCGCTCAACTGGATCGCCGAGCAGCATACCAGCACCCAATGAACGGGTTATCTCACCGTTGAGCCGACCTTCGCCAACCGGACGCGAGTCGACTCGAGCAACGGAAGCTCAACAAACGGTGAAGGCGACACAAAGTCGACCTGTCGACCCGACGCTTAGATCGTCACCACCAATGTTCGAAGTAGGCGAACTTGGTAGCACTCCGTCACCAACAAATGAAGTCTTCGACGCAACAACCGCGTCAAGGCCGAGTAGTGCGGACGGATTCTTTGCGACGTCACCGAAGTCCAACAAGAACGACTTTACTCACCAAGCCAGTGCACTCGGACAAACGGCCAAGAAGTGGGTAGCGGCAACACCGCCCGAAAGTATCGTAGACGTCGACCTACTCCGCTCGAGATGCCGTAGATTGGTCACCCAGATCGCTTTGGCAGACAAAATCGTTGACTCTGCGGGAAAATCGCTCCGAAACTCGGAAGATACCCATCGGCTCGAACGAAGCAAATGGGAACGCGAAATGGCCGACGCCAACAAAGGCATCGCCATCCAACAACGGGAAATCGACCGGCTGAATGCCATATTGAAGCGTACCGACCAACCGTGTCGACACGACATCGATGAAGTAACTACACTCAAAGGCATGCTGGACCGATCTATGGATGCAGTCCACGAGTTGAACCGAGAACTCGCCGAAGCGAACAAAGCGCTCGAGGACGCACAGAAGGACTTGGCCGATGTACAAACGGCACTAATCGAGTCGGAACAAGCAGCCGGAGCGTTCCACCAGCAACTCAACACGGCCAACGAAGAAGCCGAGGTCTACCGAAACGAAGTCGATAGATACGTGGTGGAGCTAAAGAAGGCCGATAACGAGATCGACCGACTGACACAACGAGTCGACGAACTCGAGTCGGAGATAGAACTCCTTTTCGTCAGAATGGGACGTCGGTTCATTGACGAGAATGCTCGGGACATGGGCTTTCCTAACCAAAGGACAGCCGATGTCGACCTGGTGGAAGCAAACGCCCAGCTAGCCGACCAGGTCCACGGACTGAACAAGGTCCTCAAGGAGGAACAGAAACTCCGAGCACAACTGGAGCACAACCTGAACGAGGCCCAGAAGGTAAACGAGGCGCAACACAGCCGCATCCTTTACCTTGAGGCTCGTGAAACCGAGCTGTACGAATTCGGCGAACAGGCCGCCCGCAACCTCACAGACATGATGCGGCAAATGGACGAGATGGACACGGAAACACGGTGTCTGAGGGAGGAAAAGAAACACCTGGAACAAAGCCAGGTCGAACTTTCCTCACACCTGGAACAAAGCCAGGTTGAGCTTCCTCCATACCAGGAGCAAAGTCGGGCTGAACCTCCTTCATACCGGACGTCCATAGCACAGGATCAACAGCCGTCACGAACAATCAGTGACATCCTGTGGGGAATCAACCCGACCCAAGAAATGGCGAAGAAGGAGAACAACACCTCCTACTTCGTCGGAGTCGTAACAACCGACCCGAGCGTGGGAACAATCCCACAGCCTCCAACAATACCGAGTGCTCCGGAACCGGAACACAACACGTCGACCGCGGCACCACGAGTGCCAACGACGAACGTGGCGACAACAATGTCGGCCGGTGCATACACTAGCACCTCGTACGCGACGCGCACAACAATGTACGCGCCGGTACCCAATGCCAGAGGAGATCGGACAACGGACGCTGAACGTCTCCCAATCCAGCCACCACGACCTGGCATGGAGGCATATCGCCCACCACGGACGAATTCCAATCCGAACCTGCTCCGTCAAAACCCGCAGTTCGACTCCGAGCGCGGGCGAGCTCGGTCATTCAACACGGCTGACCAGCAGCAGGACGGAAGAAATGGAGAAGATAGCTCCGACCAGCAAGGTCGGAGACCTCCATACCGACCTACACAAAGTCGGATGCCGGCTCAGGGGACACAGCCCGACCGGTACGGAAGAGTCTACGATCAGCCAAGTGGATTCTATCCGTCGGCGCCGAGACAAAATCGAGCGCCACCTCCACCGCAGAATCAGTACGGAGGACAGCCACAACAGCCTCGTCACGCAGACCAGGCTCGGTATCCGCAACAGGACGGATACAACGGCCATTACGATGAAGCCTACCAACAGGAGGCGTACGAAGACCAACAAGGTCACATGCCAA